CGATTTTTGCCCTCTTCGCCTTGAACCTCTTGATGTAGTCTTAGAGGGATTCATCGGACTTCTTATGTAGGTTGAACAGATGGTCAGGGTTCTTCTTAATCGTAGACCCGGCAATATCGGACACAACCCATTAACACAACACGAATTCGCACGAAAATAACAGTATTTGGGTCGAGCTTAATGGGTCGGGTTGAAAACGGGTGGACTCGTTAGTCACCCGTTAAGCTAACGGGTCATGTCAGTATTTTTCGCGAATCACCCGTTAACCCGTTAAGAGCAAGGGCATTTTTGTAATTTTCGTTATAAAATTAACCTAGGTTGAACTTGAAAGGAAGCTTCAATTTTGTTATTCCTCCTCCTCACGCCGCTCTCTGTCTTTCTCTCAAGAGAAAAAAAAGTTCTCTCTTTTTCTCCATAGATCCAAACCAAACGATCAAGGATCAACATCAACTACCTTTCCTCTTCTCCAACGAAAAAAGGTATGAAATTGAGTTGGAAACGGTTGCTTTCTTTTATGCCGTCTGTCTTTTCCTTCTCTGTCTTTCTCTTAGCAAAGTAGGCTCAGGTTAAGATTCATTGATTCATAGAAATTGGGGGAATATAATAAAACACCAACCGATCAATCCAATCCTTTACTAGTTTAGTGGCTTCTACCTATTTTGTCAACTTGCTGCACTATTAATTTCTACTTTCCTATTTTCTTTGTTTGATTTATTTATTGGTTTAGATGAAGACTTGCTACTTAAAAAAACCAAACAATTGCAACTTGAAAAGAGGTAAAACAATATCCATACGGAAACAGCAAAAGATAGTTGCTGAAAGATAGTTTATTGGATATTCAATGGGTATGATAATGATTGATTTGCTGCACACTAGGCTATTATTTTGATTCTTGAAACACTCCATCCGTGAGTTTTATATTACTGTAATTGATATTGAATTTATGTCCTTTTTTTTTCTTTTGAAGCTTATGGATGTTACAGAGAGTACCGAAGCTATGAGACTCACAGATGAGGAGTCTATTGATGTTTCAATGGGTGGGGATACAAGTACTGCAAATGTAGAAGATAAAGAGTCAAGCCCTAGAAGCAATTGAGATTAATTTGAAACTCATGTTGTCTAAGAGTTTTTTTGTTTGCCAATGTGTAATGTGGAAGACTTATTTAAGGATTTCAGCTTTATTTGTATTATATCTCTAAGTTGAGGTGTTTTTATTTAATAATTCCAGCAAAAATATTATTTATTTTTTAAATGGGTGAAACGGGTTAAGCGGGTGAAGCGGGTGAAACGGGTGAAAAACGACCCATTAGTCATAACGGGTCGTGTCGTGTTATTCGCGAATATGTGCGGGTCGTGTTTGGGTTTAGTATTTCTGACCCATTAGCTTAAGAGGTCGTGTTCGTGTCAACCCGTTAAGAAAACGGGTTGACCCGTTAACGACCCGGAACCCGCTAAAACGACTCGTTTGCCAGCTCTACTTAATCGTTCGGTAAGAACTGTATTTCTTCATGAAGACATAAGCAAGCTCCTTAAAGCTGCTGATTGACTCGAATGGCAGGGTGTGGCACCAGTCCTGAGCTGCTCCTAGCAAAGTCATTGTAAACACTTTGCACATTAACGCGTCTTCAGCCTTGTGGAAGATCATAAGCTCTTAAAGTGCTTCAGATGACTTTCAGGATCGGAATCCCCTTTGAAACATGTGAAAGAGGGCGTTGAGAATCGTTTCAGGGGAGCAGCCTTCTTGATTTTGGCGATAAAAGGTGAGGAGTTTGCTCGGTCTACCTCCATGCGTAATGCATCTTTGAAATTTCCACCAATCCTTAAATCTCGAAGTCGGTTATTTACAAGCTTCTCAACATCTTCCGCACACATAGCTGGTCGGCCATGTTGGTGACCTTCGCGATTTGGGCGACGCTGATTGACTTCCTCGTTGGTTCGCAAGGGTCGAACTCCTCGATTGTGCTGCCTAGGCGGCGTGTTGATGGACTGCGCTTGCAAGGAATTTCCTGTAGCTTGTCGACGGGAATTAGTTCTTCGGGAGCGGGCAACAGAGCGCCTTTCTTCACGATCCTCATTGTGAGGGTCGTCAGGTTGACCTCCCTGGGGGCCTAGCCTTTCGAGAACATTGGTCCTTGAACTCAATCTGGATGAGAGACTTCGTCTGCTCTGAGTGTAGCTTGTAGATGCTTGCGACATGTCGGCAAGCCGACTGCGTTGTTGTCCCTCTTTTTGTCTGCTTACTCCTGCTCGACCTGCTTGATACACATCGAACTGCCTATCGACGCGTTCATCCATCCTTCTCTCTTCGCCCTGTTGTCCAAGGCCAAGATTTTGAGCCAAGTTTATTTGGTTGAGGAGCTACCTCATCAAATTGTTTTGGTCGTCCATTCTCTGAGTTAGCTGGTCAACTCTCAGATTGAGGTATACTTGACTTCGTGGATCGAGAGGAGAGAATTGTGTGGAGCCCAATTGCACATGGGTTAAGGTTTCATTGGAGGTGTACGCGGGAGCGTACGTCGAGTGCGAAGGCAATGGAGGGAATGCTTGAAGTTGCTCCAAGATCGGACCTAAGTCGGTGGTGGTCGTGAGCCCACCTTGATGGGAGGTTTCACCATGTTTAGTGGCAGCGCTATGAAGGTGGCTAGATCCAGCCACGGGGCCTTGAGATGGTACGACGACGGCAGAGGCTGGTGCGATGGTCCCAGCTGCGGGTCCAACAAGTGGCACGGTGGTTCCAGCCACACGGGGTGGCTGTTGTGGTGCGGCAGCAAGGGTTTGTTGCGGGTTCACGACGGCGAGTGGTGGAGGTGCCACCATGTCGATCATGGGATCGTGGGAGGAGTGATTTTGGGGAGTCACAGATCGAGCCATCGCAGCGGTCTTGCTCCTCGTGTGCTTGTAACTTAGAATTATAGGAACTAAGCAAAAGAAGTAAGTAAATTGGGCATGTATATGTATGAAATTATGAGCTTAACATGCCACCATGTCGATCATGGGATCGTGGGAGGAGTGATTTTGGGGAGTCACAGATCGAGCCATCGCAGCGGTCTTGCTCCTCGTGTGCTTGCTTCCAACCATGGTTGTTTGAAAGGCTTCGGTGGATTAGAAAATATGAGGAACGGATTCCTTGAGCACGCATTGAGTATAACTCGCGCTCTCAATGAAAGCACCAAATGTTTGTGCAAATACTCTCGCGGGAGAATATTCGCTTCTAGATCCTTCAACCTTCGATCTTCCTTCTCTCTCTTCCTCGATTCCTGTAAAAAAGACTGGAGTAAATAGACCACACCCGTGGGGTGTTGGCCAAAGGCCCTCCGATGCCTAAGTTAGTTCAAGTGTTTGTAGGAAAATAATAGCTAAGCAAAGGGTACATAGTTGTATGTATGGTGTAAACCGGGCGGCCGGAGCCGCGTGTGGTGGCCGGAGACGTGTGGAGAAAATATGGAGAGTGGAGAGGGAGAGAGATAACTTCAGGTATTTTTCTCGAGTATCAGGAGTAGGTTTAGATATACCTTGAATGATGAATGAAGTCATCTATTTATAGGAACCTCGGGGCTAGGGTTTCGTAGAGTCTCGTAGAGAATAAACTCTGATTAAATGGAGTTTATTCTTTACTCAAATTCGTAGAAATTGAGCCGGACTTGATTATATTTGAATTAATGATATTATCTCATTAATTATAAGATAATATCCTATAATTAAGATATTATCCCCTTATTAGGATAATATCCAAATTAATGATATTATCTTATTAAATAAAGATAATATCTTATAATTTAGATATTATCCATATTAATTAATTAACCAAATAAATTGGTTTAATTAATTAATTTAAGGGATAATCTTCTTTTCCACGTGGCGTGCTGTGATTGGAGACAAAAATATTTGCTTCCACAATACGGGTGATTAATACAGTAATATAAGGTGAGTTTTAAATTTCATATAATTCTTCTGACATGGTAAAATTTTAGTAATTAGTTGCTAAACGAACCCTAAAATTAACTTAGTATACCCTATGATCTAAGTGCACCCTAATATTTAAATTAAAATGTAAAATTAACTAAGTACACCCTATTTAACTACCTAAAATACCCCTAGTACACCCTAATACATTCTATAACACAACTCCACCCTAATACATTCTAATAAGCGTGGAATATCATGTTGGAACCCATCTCCCTTCAACTGGTGGAAGAAGGAAAATGCCGAATTGGGTTCGTTTCTTAGACTGTTGAGGTTGCTATCAACCCCCAAGGTATCTAATTCAAAGAAGAAATAGTTGTATTGAAACCACCAACATCGTAGATGAACATAAAATGATTATTGTTTTGGGTGGGTTGAATGCATTTTCTGGGAAAACCAACTCTAATGAACGAAAGCAACATACACATGGAAGATTTCGACTCATTGCAACCCTTTTAGAGCACATAAAGAGGGGGGGGGGGGGGGTGTGGTTTTGGGTTGAATATAGGGTGTGCTTATTAAAATTACATTTGTTTTACAATTCAATATATTCTTTTTGGTCATTTTATATTAGGATAAATTAGTAACTCAATAAATAGTTTGGTAGTAAAGTGTACTCAGTTAATTTTAGGGTTCGTTTAGCAGCACTCTTATCAAATAATTAAGATTCCTTTAAATATGTATAAATGTACCGATGCTAAATGCAAAGCCTCGAAATCCGGTTGGGATTGGGAAGGGTACCGGTGGTGCTGAAGTCATATCAGTTTTCTTTCCAAAAATTTAAAAGTTGATTACCCACAATAAATTGCATTAATTATGTTTTCTACTCAAAACGTGTGTTCCAACTTAAATGAAAATAGAGAGCCGAGCAAATAATACGATGTCGTCTTATAAAGAAAACTTGAAAAAGAAAAGAAATACGCGTGCTCTCTTCCTCTTCCACCGAAATTCAAACTTTAAAAAATATATATATATAAAATAGCTAAGAGGTGTTAAAAAAAAGAAAAAAAAAAGAAAAACTAGAAAGTGGCTTTGGAATTTTTTTTTAAAAAATTTGAAATTCATGAGGAGGAAAAAGAGTTCAAAATTGAAATTGAAGGTGTAATGGTTCTCCAAGACTCAAACTACGAGGCACGAAGGGACTTTCCATAGCCCGTCGATACCTGCCAGAAATTTCCACTTTCCGTTTAATCTCTCAGGTTCGTGTCAAGCCTTCATGTAACTCGTTGGTTTTCACGCCTGCCAGTTTGTTTTGATCCGGGTTAAAGCTCACACTCTGTTTGGTTGCCGAGAAAACTGAAAGGAAATGCTGAGAAACTGAAAGGAAATGATGAAATTTAGGTCTAATGGGGTTTTACAATTGGAATAAGATTAGCTTGATTAAGGGAGTTGCTTGAGTTAATGCTGCCGAGGCCCAAATAGTGTGAGTTTTGAAAGTGTCAGTGATCACCATTTTCTGTTGAACTTTGTATTTTCAGGTTTAGCTCATTGGCAAAATCCTACGCTCAATTCAGTTCAGTTGGGAAAAATTCAAGAAAGAGAGGAAAATGACGCTTCTAAGTAGATTCTTTTACAAAAGACCCCCAGATGGGTTGCTTGAATTTGTAGAGAGAGTATATGGTAACATTCTTTTCTTCATCCTTTAATCTAGTGTTGCTATTATTTGTTTGCATTAAATCATATGTTTTCATAACTTGTTTTTTTTTTCTTATTTTTGTTTCATGATATTAAATATGGGGCAGTGTTTGATTCGTGTTTTTCCACCGAGGTCTTGCCTGAGGAAATGTACCAAATATACCTAGATGAAATTATTACTGAGTTACATGAAGAATTCCCGGACTCATCCTTCCTTGCATTCAATTTTCGTGAGGGTGAGAAACGTAGCCAATTTGCTGAGATACTATGCGAATACGATGTTACAGTTATGGATTACCCGCGGCAGTACGAGGGTTGTCCAATCCTCCCATTATCTCTCATTCAACATTTTCTCCGTGTTTGTGAGAGTTGGCTCTTGCTTGACAAGCAACAGAATGTTATTCTTCTCCATTGTGAGAGGGGAGGTTGGCCACTCTTGGCATTTCTTTTAGCTAGCTTTCTCATTTTTAGAAAATTGCATAGTGGTGAACGAAAGACTCTTGAAATTGTACATCGAGAAGCTCCTAAAGGTTTCTTGCAGCTCTTGTCGCCTTTGAATCCTCTTCCGTCTCAGCTTCGATACCTTCAGTATGTGGCAAGAAGAAATATAGCTCCAGAGTGGCCACCTCCTGAGAGAGCACTTTCTTTAGACTGTGTCATTCTTCGAGCCATTCCAAACTTCGATACCCATAAAGGCTGCACTCCAATTATCCGTATTTTTGGTAGGAATCTACTTAGCAAGGGTGGGCTTTCGACCCAGATGATATTCTCCATGCCCAGGAAGAAGACACTTCGGAACTACCGTCAAGTAAGATTTATACTGTTCTAAGAATTTTCCCACTTGATGTTTGTCATTCTATGTTTTTGCATTAGTCAATGTTCCTTTATCACTACTCCAGTTATAATGTTCTTTCTTTGCAGGAAGACTGTGATGTCATCAAAATTGACATTCAGTGTCTAGTGCAAGGAGATGTTGTATTGGAGTGTGTCCATGTAGATTTGGATCCAGAGAGGGAAGTTATGATGTTCCGTATTATGTTCAACACTGCATTTATTCGTTCCAATATACTGATGCTGAATTCGGATAACTTAGACATTCTATGGGATTCAAAGGAACGCTATCCAAAAGGCTTCCGAGCTGAGGTGACTATTAGTGAGCCCTTTGTTTTGATCTTCATAGAAAAATGATTAAACATGGTGCCTTTTGTTGTATGAATATAGACGTGTATGTACTTGCAAGGAAATGTTATTATGCCAGACTAAGGATCTGGAGCACACATTTTAGTAAGAATCATCCTGATCAATGGTCCAGATTAACAGTGTGGCACATAAGCGTCTTATGTTGCCAGACAGTGCAAGAGAACTTACTCTATGTATACACCATATTAAAAACATAACATATATTTGTGTATGCTAATTTTCATATAAGTTAGCCATCCATCTGATTGAATGAACTCATTTATTCAGGTATTGTTTGGGGAGTTTGAGAGCATATCTCCTCCTAAAGCTCCAACTACAATTTTAAATGGCGAGGAGAAAGGTGGATTGCCCCTTGAAGCTTTTTCGAGGGTTCAAGAACTTTTCAATGGGGTTGAGTGGGTTGATAGCAATGATGATGCAGCCTTGTGGTTGCTTAAACAGCTCTCTGTACTAAGTGATGCAAAAGAAATTTCAAGGTTGCAAAACAAAGTGAATTTATATTCGTCACCTGCTGACTCTGAAGAAGAAAATAATGCATCTAGCACTGCTGACAGTGCTGATGAAGCTTTTGATACTGTTTCCAAGGCTTCAGCAGATTCAGCGAAAGCATTGATGCTGGACACATTTGATTCAGTTCCTGTATCGTTTGAAAATGATGGTCCACCTGAAGCGAACCTTGCTTCAGATTCTCCTGATCAAGAGTTAATTGGACCTGTTCTGCACTCTCTTCATCAACAATCATTAGATACAAGTAATGGATCTCCACCTTGTTCATCCCCTCAATCATTGCCACTACCACCACTATCAACGGAACCATTATGTCCTGCTCTTCACCCTCCACCACCACCGCCACCACCACCTCCTTCCATTGGTGCTTGTAGAGATTCTTTAGACCTCCTACCTTCCAGTACTAGCAGAGGTCCACCAGTACCACCACCTATTGCTCTATCTCGTTGTGTCTCTAGCAAAGGTCCACCACTACGTCCTCCCCCACCACCACCACCTCCTCCTCCTAAATCTAGTCAAGAGTCTTTGCTGCCACACCCACCTCCACCTCCTCCATTTTTGGGAAGTGCACCCAACAAGGTACAATCAATAGCAGCACCACCACCGCCACCACCACCGCCCCCTCTTCCTGCAACTAACAAGCTACAACCACCTCCTCCTCCTCCTCCTCCTCCACCATCCATTTCTAATTCTGGTCGTGGACCACCGCCTCCTCCACCTCCTCCACCATCGAGTTCTAGTTCTGGTCATGGACCACCGCCTCCTCCACCTCCTCCACCTCCTCCACCATCCAGTTCTAGTTCTGGTCGTGGACCACCACCACCTCCACCTCCTCCACCATCCAGTTCTAGTTCTGGTCGTGGACCACCACCACCTCCACCTCCTCCACCATCCAGTTCTAGTTCTGGTCGTGGACCACCACCACCTCCACCTCCTCCACCATCCAGTTCTAGTTCTGGTCGTGGACCACCACCACCTCCACCTCCTCCACCATCCAGTTCTAGTTCTGGTCGTGGACCACCACCACCTCCACCTCCTCCACCATCCAGTTCTAGTTCTGGTCGTGGACCACCACCACCTCCACCTCCTCCACCATCCAGTTCTAGTTCTGGTCGTGGACCACCACCACCTCCACCTCCTCCACCATCCAGTTCTAGTTCTGGTCGTGGACCACCACCACCTCCACCTCCTCCACCATCCAGTTCTAGTTCTGGTCGTGGACCACCACCACCTCCACCTCCTCCACCATCCAGTTCTAGTTCTGGTCGTGGACCACCGCGTCCTCCACCTCTTCCACCATCCAGTTCTAGTTCTGGTCGTGGACCACCACCACCTCCACCTCCTCCTCCTATGAGTGGTAGCCTTGGTAATAATACTAGGCCATCACCCCCACCTCCACCTCCTTCGGGACCGGGAAGGCCAACCCCGCCACCTCCACCACCAGCACCAATGCCCCCAAGTGCTCCTCCTCCACCCTCAAGTCGTGGTGCAACACCACCTCCTCCACCACCTGGAGCAAAGGGCTCTAATGCACCACCGCCACCACCACCAGCCATTGGAAGGGGCAGAGCTTCTTCTGGGCCGACAAGTCTTGGAAAAGGTCGTGGCACTGGTGCTACTAATGCCCCGAAGAAAAATTCGTTAAAGCCCTTACACTGGGTCAAAGTTACTCGAGCAATGCAAGGGAGTTTATGGGCAGATTCTCAGCAACAGGAAAATCTGTCAAGGTGCATTCTTATGGAATTCTTCTAGACACTTGATTCTTAATAAAGAAAAAAGAACACAAGCACTATGAAAAGTCACTTTGTCAAATACTTGGTTCCCCTTGTTAGTGTACACCAGGATTATAATTGTCACTGAAATGAGCTTAAGAGAATCCATTATACATTGTCACGTTATTTTTTCTTCATTCTTTCCATGTGATGCTAATTTGTCTTTAGTTAGTTTTTGCTTTTTTCCTCTTGGTTCTCTTTCCTCTGTTCCTCTCTGTTTCTCTTCTGATGTAACATTGTGGGATTTTTTCTCAGGGCTCCAGAAATAGATATAACAGAACTTGAAAGTCTGTTTTCAGCAGCCTCTGCTTCAGATGGGAATGGCAGTAAGGGTGGAGGTCGACGCGGTTCTACCATCACCAAACCTGAGAAAGTGCAATTGGTGAGCTTTCTTTCTTTCTTCTGCCATGCAGTAATTTTTGGTTTGCTTTAGGCTTTTATCGTGCTTGATGCTTTGCCACTTGTAGGTTCATTAATCATTATTTGTTTCAGTGACAAGTTTTTACTTCATAAATTGTTCAATTGATGCACGATCAAACATGTCTCTGCTGCTAAATGTATGTCAATTTTCAATCATACATAAGCACCCAAGTAGTGGGAGGATGGGGTACGGCAGGCATTTGTTTGTTTGTTAAATCTTGTGCCTAAGGAATGGAATTGACAACATAGGCTAAGACCAAGGTTATTGGCGACATTGTTGATGTTTCGGTCAAATCAGGGTGCAACATTTGATAAGGGTGGAGGTGTATCTTAAAACAGTTGCAGAAATTTTGAAGAAATCTCAGCAGTTTCAGTAATGTTGACATAGTATTGGTATATCTATGCATATCAGTCTTTTTTTTCATACTGAAATTTGGTGGAATTTGAGTGAAATTACCCAGTGACCATGTTTACCCAACCATGTGGATTTTCATTTTAATCAGTTAGCTTTGTCAACTAGCCTTTAGCCTTGATTGCAAAAAGCAGTAGACTAAATGGCCTTTGAATTCTGATAAAAGCTCCGGGCTAGGCTTTGTAACTTACAACTGATAAATGTAGCCAATGAACAATATCATTTAACTCCTCCAGAGGAGTAAATATAAGTAAATGACTCATGTTACTTGAAATAATCTCAACACACATAATCCTTGTTAACCAATAAAACTCACTTGTCAATTCAATACATAGTAGCTCTATATAAAGCTAAAAAGAAAATGAGTTGAGATAGATCTAATATAAAATATGAACGTAAATCATGAAAGTATAGGTCACCCACGTAAGTTTTTTCAACTATACATGCCATATATTTAGCAGGGATACATATGGCTTGCTAGCATTTCTTAAAATCTCATTCACAATCTTCATGTCGTACAATTTTTATTTTTCATCAATATTTCCAGTGACGTTGATATTTCCGTTGTTATTTCCTTAAATTCGGAGTACCGATATATCTATTGGCAATGAAATTTTAATCCTTGGCCAAGACCACGTATTACATATTCTTGTTTTGTCTAATTGATATCAAGGAAAATCCTAGGAAAGGATAGAGTCTGAATTCTCCAAATAGCCTAATTGGCCCCAGATTTCAATTATAATCCCTAATTGAACAAATTATAAGTATGGAAAGCAGAAACTTCTGCAAAATTTCAAGAAAGTTGGAAATCATGTTCCTTAGGGTACCTATGCTTTATGATATCTCCAGCCTTGATTCCCTCAAGTGTGATCTTAGGATATGTATGTAGACTTAATTTGATATTTTGTCTCTGTTTATCAGGTTGACTTGCGACGAGCATATAACTGTGAAATCATGCTCTCAAATGTAAAGATCCCTTTGCCGGATATGATTGTAAGTTCTTCTTTCTACTCATGTACATTTCACAGATATCGTCAGAAAAAAGTGTTTTCCTCTGGTTTCATAGCCTTCTATTTGCATGGCTTGGGGAAATGTGGATGGATGAATGTTCAGATTAAGTCTTTGTGTCTACTGTTGAGGACATGAATGTTGATCATTGATATTTTCATAGTTAGTGACATTGATGTCCTCATATCTGATGACATTTCTCTCATTCATGTGTGAAAATCATTCCTTTCTTCTAATTCATGGTCATCTTATCTTATAACAAAGATAAAGGAAGGAAATTCAACTTTGGCATCTTTTGTGATTGTTGCATGGATGTTTTATGTTTATTGCGGATTGTGTCATGTCCCAATTGTTGTATATGGTCATTAATAATGCCTATTAGGCTATTAGCCTATAATGGTGCTAAAGTTAGGTGTTTATGCTTCTAGAATGCAGTTCTGGCTCTGGATTCTTCTGTTCTTGACATTGACCAGGTTGAGAATCTCATTAAATTTTGTCCTAGTAAAGAAGAAATGGAAACTTTGAAGGTAAGTTGCTCTTCCTTCCCACTCCTTTTCTGCAGCAATTCATACTTCTATATGTTGGGCATGTACATGTCTTTTTGATTGATACTAATGTTATCCTTGCTCTAGTAATTTGATCTTTATCGATGCTGTGTACATAGATTTCATGAATTTTCACTTGTATTTTAAAAAGAAAAGTAATATCTTAGTGTTCTGGATAATGGGTTTAGAATCTTGTTTGCATATAGTTTTTGTAGTTTATTCCCAATAAAAAAAGTTTCTTCAGTTTATAGTACCCTGCCAGTATTCTTGTACTCAAACTTGGAATCAAAGTGAGATGATTTTTCTCTTTTTCACACTAAAACGGTATAAGACTCTAAACAGCCCTAAGGTTGACACAATATGAGTTTACATCAGCACAACAAACCAACAAAGAAAGCTGCACTGTGAATTAAACAAACCTAATGTTTCTGATAGCGTTTTTGTCTTCTTGCTGTAGTGTCGAGGTTGACCCCTTTGTCCACAACTTGTAATGCTTTTGAGATTGATCAATAAATGTTTTCTTTAAAAAATAAAAAAAAAATATGGTGAGATTATAGATTTCTTTGAATTATTAGAGATTGTCTAGTTTAGAAGGTAGTGCTGATTCCATTTTCCTCCTTCCAGAACTATACAGGCGACAAGGAAATGCTAGGAAAATGTGAACAGGTTCTTTCTAATGCCATCATCTTAAATGCAAGTTTGTTCTAACTTCTATTTGATTTCCTACTAACAGTGTCTTTAGTAAGTACTTCAGTTTTTCGTAGAGCTGATGAAGGTTCCACGAGTAGAATCCAAGTTGCGAGTATTTGCTTTCAAAATTACCTTTTCTAGTCAGGTACATTGTAGAGCTTTATTTTCTTTATATGATTTTGCGTGGTGTATACTTAACAGCATTTTGGTGCTTGAATTGGATCAGGTGAATGACTTAAGACTTCATCTGAATACAATCAATGGTGCTGCTAGAGAGGTATCATGAGAATCAGTGGTTAGTAAACTAGTACATATGAGCATATTTTTGGCCTCCATTTGATTTCACAAGTATGTGCAGGTTAAAGAATCCGCAAAACTACGACAGATAATGCAGACAATTCTTACTTTGGGAAATGCCTTGAATCAAGGCACTGCTCGAGGTACCACTGTCTAATGCTTATTTTAATTCTTCCTATGATTCTGTTGCCATTATATTTCTTGGTATTTACATTATTACCATTATGTTCCTTAGCCTAAATGTTTAGTTTTGATTTTGCAGGATCTGCCATAGGATTCAAATTGGACAGCCTTCTTAAATTGTCTGACACCCGTGCAAGAAACAACAAAATGACTTTAATGCATTATTTGTGTAAGGTATGGCCGTTGAAAATCTGAACCGTATCCATCTGTGCAGATGTCTTGCTTTATCATTCATATTTTGCAATTTTTTGGCGTTATTAAGGATATTCATGTCATGCCTTTATCAATTTTTGTCTTCATTAGCTCATTGCTGAGAAAATGCCAGAGTTGCTGGATTTTAATAAGGATCTTGTTCATTTAGAAGCTGCCTCTAAGGTATGCTGTTTATGTTGCTAGAATTCGTTCTTTCCGATGTTTGTAACCTGTATTAGTAACCATTTCATAGCTGACCTGTCCAATTCCTTGCTTGCATATGTTTGATCATAACATCAAATAATCAGATTCAGTTGAAAGCTTTGGCTGAAGAAATGCAAGCCGTGAGTAAAGGTCTTGAAAAGGTTGAGCAAGAACTTGCTGCTTCAGAAAATGATGGAGCAATCTCTGCTGGCTTCCAAAAGGTGAGAAATACTGATGATATTTTGGTTGTCTCAAATAAACAGCATATACCAGTTTATAATTTCTATTTTATAAAGATAATATTAATCATGGATTAAAATGTCGGCCGACAACTAGACATTTCGGCCAAAGTGTCCCTTTTTTCAAGTGTCAACAGTGAAACTAGGGGCTAAAAGCATCTCTTCTCCCATGTTGGCGAGATTTCCCCAACATCGCTGACATTTCACTATAATCCCAACATATCTTGATATTCTCTACAAACCCAGAGAAAAAAATTCTTGATTTGTAAGGAAAAAGTGGAAGAAGACGCAAATTCTTGATATTCTCTAAGGTCATCAGAAATAGAAGGAAAAAGTGGAAGAAGACGCAAATTCAAACAAAATAAACTGTAATCATTGTTTAGAATCTCTAATTCAGTCAATTCTAAACCACACCAAGCCTTAATTAATTACCCATGTACTAACCCAGCCAATTAATCAAATTCACCCTTTTGTCCATTTTCACTTATATAAAAAATGATATCAATATCCCTGAAATATGTATAAATTGGAGGGCTGATATTATCTACATTGCTGACATTTTCATCCTTGACATTAATTAAATACTTGTTATCTGCAACTTCATCTTGAAAACTAGTCACACTTCTTAAATGTTTCAGTTATATCATATTCTTGTGTTTGAAGTGAAAGAAGAATGTTGTCAAACTAAATGTGTTACAATCAATGAGTGTAGTTCCAGTGGTACAGCACTTCACCCTAAAACCCGCAGAAAGAGTTTAATTCTTGCTCTCCTCCTGTTAAGATAATTTATTGTTCTGAAGTATAAATTAACAAGAAAAGTGTGATCAGTATACCTTTTGGGCAGGTCCCTTTTATATATCCCCTTTTCTTCCTCCCAATAGAAATTGAAATAACACCTCCGTCACCTCCATAACACATAACAATCTGAAGTAGTTTCAGCAGCAACCCGATGGATATAATGATTATAATCTGATTGGTTTGTACCAGACAGTAGCGATGTAGAGGTCCATACTAGTTGGGACCCACTGCCAAGTATATTATCCTAATGTTATTCCTAGGAGGGATCTTTTGGAATTTCTTTTAGACCTTTTTCTGGTGCATACAAATGTATGTCCTAGAAAGTACTGCGATAAAGTCATGAGTTTTTTTTTCCACTTTAAGCTTTCTCATTCATTGTTTCTTCTAAGTAAATTGCTTATGATATTTTCTGTTTCTTTTGGTCAAGGCTTAGGATATTTTCGAGACATTTAAACATAGGAGATAAGTTTAGTTGTTACCTTTACATTTCAACTTAAAAAGCAGAACTTCCTCCTCTGCAGGTCCTGAAACATTTTCTTGATACTGCTGAAGCTGAAGTAAGGTCACTAATATCCCTGTACTCTGAAGTGGTGAGTGCAGTCCGGAGTTCCAGAGTTCTTATCTTGTTGATTGATGGCTTTGTTTTATGCAGCTTACTGATGGTATAATGTCTTAACTCATTTTTTCCAGGGAAGAAATGCAGATTCTTTGTCTCAATATTTTGGGGAAGATCCAGCTCGGTGTCCTTTTGAACAAGGTCTGCTATGATCTTCAACTCATGAATACACAACACATTCTTCACTTTATTATTGGTGGTGGAAAATGATTGAAATCCATTCATAGTTTTCCAAGTACTGATTTAAATATTCAAGGAAAATAAAAATATGGATATAGTGGTTATAATTCGGTCGATCATGTGATCCAATTTTTGAGTTCCTAGTTTTCCAGAGATTATATGAATTTCATCCGAAATTTATTTTATGATCTCTTTGATTTTCATGTCAAATTATTAAAACCTTTGATCTTTGACATGTCTTGGCCTTGCAGTGACACAGGTCTTGTTCGTTTTTGTCAAGATGTTCAACAAGTCACGAGAGGAAAATGAAAGACTCGCTGACGTCGAAAAAAGGAAGCTTGAAAAGGAAGCCATGAAAGAACGAACTGTAACTAATTCATCTGCAAGGAAAGATGTTAAATAGAGCAACATGAAATATACACATGTTTATGTTTTGGTGGGTAAAATCAATATATTGCAGAAATAGGCGGTCAATTTTAGAATTGACTTTTAGTTCATGCCCAAATTCGACCAACAATTTACACTAGGTTGACAAGAGCAAGTCGAAATTCTGATGTGTGCCCAATTCTTTTAAAGAGGCAGGTTTTTACTTTTTCCGAAGTTGCTGTTCAGGTCGAGATGGCAGCCAGATGGCGACTTGACCTTTGCTCATTTTGAAACATCCTCGACCCATGGATCAGTTGTATTCAAGCTGTAAATATTATAAGAACAGATGCTGGCGTTGTAATCCTTTCCATGCTTCTCTTGAAACATTTTCTAGCGTATTATCTGATTTCGTGTTATGTCAATTTCTCCCTGCACTAGACAATCACAATTTTGTGCCTCCCAAATTGGTTGTTGTCTGTGATTATGAGGTTGGTTATCAATGATCTTGTCACAGGTACAAATTTTTTGTTGGGAAGTTTTGGATTTGGATTGCCGTGTGAAGAATGACATTGAGCTCAAAACTGCGATGATTTTTTGCACATACAAAGTGGCAGATTGTCAGTTCAAAACCCTAGCAACCTTACAACTGATGAGTCCAAAAGATGCTGAAAATGTTGAAATGGAAGGACTGATACCAATTCATCCACTTCATGCAGTGAACTTCAAAAGCTGTTGCTTGATAATACAATTCTTCATTACAGTTTGATTAAATGCTTTACAAATGTGGAAAGGAGTTAAGAGGGTCAACATTGATCCTCAGTAACCCACGCATTATACCCAGAAAAAGCACATTCATATGATTGGTTAAATTAAAGCCAATTTGATTGCCACTATATGTAGTCTTCAACAGCTGACCAAGTCTCATGCTTGTCCTGCAGCAGAAATAGAGGTTTCTTGCTCTGATGCTTCTTTCCTTTTAGCCTTCTCTTTCTCAAGCAAGTAAATCTTCTCTGATTCAGGTATAGCCAGCATGATTGTGTGCAGCCTCAAATTCATTTCCTCAACCTTTTCCATGAGCCTGTCATTTGTAAACATGCCAAGAATGACACTCTTGATCGTTTCCCAGCTTTCTACTATCGGTAATGCAATGATTGCAATCGAACCTATCGTACCCCATGCTATTGCAATGACTGCCCAGAATGTGAAGTACCCTAAACTGAAATCCCCTGCATTCAGAAACAATTTATGAAATATCAATAAGAAAAATTTGGGGAAGTCCATGCATTATTTATCTTTTGACAAACACTCATAAGCTGTTACTATCTGGAATTTTAATAAGTTCTCCAAAGTTTACCTGCTGGAAGAGAGAGAAGAGGCCACAATAAAACAATGACCACAGTAAAGCCAACACCCCATTTCACAATCCATGCCTTTGCTCTCAACAATTTTTCCTCCTTGTACTCTTCTGCTGGTAGATCACTCTTTTCTTTCTCAACCACAGTGATCTTCTTAGTGGTGCCCCAATCGTAGTTTTGTGGTGACAAGAAGCTGCAGATAGCATGTATGGCTCCACCAGTAAGTATAGAGATAAGGTTTCCAGCAAGCATTGGTGCGTTTCGACCAGTAGTGTCAAGATTTACGCGGCCATACTCGATTTTTGTAACAGATAGCCAAGTGATGATCCCAAGAACACAGCCAACAGTTGCTCCTAGAATTGCACCAATTGCATTTGCCTTTCTCCATAGAAGCATAAACGCAATGGGAATAACTGCTGAACCAATGAGCACTCCCATGGCCAGATACATCCAACCCAATGAAACTCCAGCCTTGTTTAGTATTACTGCTAACATCCCCATAAAGCATCCAAAAGCAAGGATGACACCCCTTGATACCTGGAGGATTTTCTTCCCGCTTGCATCAGGGTTTATGTATGTACGGTAGATATCGTATGTGCATAATGAGGATACGGCTATAAGCTCTGAAGAACCAGCTGATGTCACTGCCCTGTTCAATATATAAGAGAGTTGAATTATCAATACCATAAAGACATTGAAAAAGAAAGTGCAACAGAGTAAGGTAATCCTCGAGTGTTCGATACATCCCGACAGTAAATGTATTAAATTGTGCTCAACAAGATAAACTGTCTCCAGATCCAAAAAAGAAAAAATCAAGTAAAATGAAACACAAGTAAGATAAATACTTTACTAGAGTTCAATTCTTCAATGTTTTGGCATGTTATGTTCGTTGACTCACACTTATGCTTGAACTTACATAAAAAGCATAGTAAGAAGAAGCACAGATCCTCCTTTTCCCATCAAAGCTATAGCTGTGGCAGGAGGAACAAGTCCACGACTTGCTTCACTCTCTGTAATTGGTAGATCAAGTGCCAATGCTCCCAGTCCCAATGATGTTGCTAATGAGAATGGGACTGCAAACCAGACAAGTCCACCTAGCAGGTAGCCCTTATGCGTTGATGAAGGCCTTGCAGCTATGGCACTTACCCAGTATCCCTGAAGTTTTCAATGAAACTTGTAAAATGTGACAAATTTTGAACTTAAGACATTTAAAAGATAGTTAGTTGCTTGTAATCTATTGAACAGCTTACATTATCAACAAAAACAGTGCCAAAGTTTCCGACTATGTTGATAATCCCAAACACTAGCCCTCCAGAACTCAACATTGTTAGGTACGACCCTTTATAATTCCCACTAGCAGGACCACAAGACTGTCCATGATGAGAAACAGGCTCCTTACAAATCCTTGATTTACTCGCTAACTCTACCAGACGGTTGTACACGATGCTGGGGCTACCGAGCTCACTGCTTGCAATGTATACAAGGTAAACGAATATGACTAGTACCACATGAACTGAAACCAAACCAAGAACACATATCTCAGGATGACATAAAAGAAAACATATCAAATTGCATCAAGGACATTATAAAAGAAATTTAAATGACTACCTATAACAGAATGTATGTAGCTTGCCAAGAAGGTAGCTTTTAGTCCTCCAGCTAATGTGTAGACAATTACTCCAAGAGGTATCAGGAAGCTAGCAGCATAGATGTTTACTCCTGTAAGTGCATTTACGACAGCTGAACCTCCGAGCAGCAGCATTGCAGTTACAATAATATTTGTCAAAAAGCAGAAACTGAGGAAGACAATGTGTGCTGCTGTGCCCCAGCTGAAGAGGAATGTTATTCATAACATTAATTAGTGAACTATGAGCTTTAGAACACAAGTCCCTGTAAGGGAGGGATGGAACTTGATGAATCTTATCTTTTGGTTTATCGAACCAAACATACCGAGCTTTTACTATTTCGCAAACAGTGTGAGCATGAGGAGCCTTTCTCTTGATCTCTATAGCTATTATACCAAACAAGAGTACCTAATTATTAGGAACATTAAGTTGTTAATCTAACATGCCTTCGTTTTCACTTAAATGAAGATTATTCATAATGAGCTATCTCTAACAATCAACAGAAGGAAACAGCTTGGACATGCCTGAATTGTAGCCCCGCTAGCATACCAGAAAGGTCCACTTACTCCATACTCCCAAGCAACATTTGAACTTTGCAAGATTGTAGCAGCCCAAGTCCACTGCACAAATTTTCAACACAAAGGAAGAGCAATCAGTCTCCTAAAATCATCTTGAGAAATAAACTTTTCCATTAAAATCCGTAAATTGTTTACGTGCTAGGGACTGTACCTGGGATACAATCACACTGGCAATGAGTCCTGTTTTAACATTTCTTCCTGCAGTGTTGAACCATTCGGATGTGTGCTTGGAACCGACATATCGCTTCTCCAGCCATACCTGACCCACAGATAAACATGCAAGGCATCAACATCTTGCATTGTTTTCAGGAACAGGCAAGTACCATAAATCCTATTCTGGTTACTGCTAACTAAAAATTTTGTGTTTGAATTTTAAAGCATATGAAAATACAATGGTGGAGGTTAAATAATAGATTGTTTAACACAATAAGGGTCCAGCATTATGTGATTACATAAACAGTTTCTTAGTTAACATTTTATTAGAGACATGAATTGAATTGTAAGAAGCTAGAATATGATCAAGATAGTTGTTAGAATCACAAATGGAACTACTATGTTCTATCAACGCATTAAAGTTTCAATCCATATCAACTAGATACCACAAGTTTCACCAGATCCCTGCAATGTCTAATAACTCAATTCTGTTTAGTGAACAACATATAGGGGCATCATAAGTTAGGGGTTTAGACCAAAACTCCGATGTGAACCAATATTATATGTCACAGCCTACGTGCGTACTCGGTCCCAAAAGTACATATAAAGAAACCAAGAAATTGGGATATGGTGAATCACATTGGTAAAAGGTAAATTTAGTTTTTTATATTTTATTTAGTGAAAAGGTTTAATAAACAGACAAAAAAAACATCAATAATGACAACTCTTTTACTCCATACTAAAATGAACAAGTGACGAATACCAGGAAAGATGTGAAGACAGCAAAGAAGGCTCCAAAGCCAAGAATCACAGAATAACCAACGCCCTGATTGAGTACTGGTTTGCCTCCAAAGAAGCTGGTTTGCCTCACACAGCCACCACCATCTCCTGCCACGTGGTAGTACTTGCTTGAAAACTCAAAAGGAGGACACTGTGACCAAGAGCTAGCCATGAACAAGGCCAGCAAGAGAGCTTTCAGAACAGCACCTCCAGCTGCTCGTTTATCCTCTCTCTGTCATCAAAAACAAAATCTACAAACTAACAAAGAACGGAAATATAGAGGCTGAGATTGCTTTCTCTCTTTCTTGTTAGGACCAATGCAAGTGTCAAGTGTGTGTGAAGTCAAACTAGGAAGCTATCTGTCCAATGACGTTATAGGTGTTTTTTTCGTTTTTTTCCTATGCAACTGTCCTAAGTCTTTGTTGGATATTACAGAGTAGGGTGGATAAATTTTGTCTTAGAGCAGAAGGAGATTCATGTAATTTTGTCATGTTGACAGGATAGCTAAACAAGTATACAAAGCACGCAAAGCCATAGAAGGAATCTTTTTTTTTTTTTTTTTGGGTGAAATAGAGAAAGAATCATCATTAAAATAAAGAAGCTCTTCTAACTCAATAATACTGATGGGTAAAAGAAAATAAACAACGATGCTACTTTATTTATTTATTATTATTTAAAGTACAAGTAATAGTCTAAATTAGAGAGAAGAGGGATTTCTCACATACTTACACAACTATGATGTGGTGGAGATTGGAACCCGAGACCACTCATCTACAATTGAAGACCCTTTTTCACTGGGCTAGACCTCATTGGCAACAACGATCATGCAACATTTTTTTTTTTTTTTCTTAAAGTGACAATAATGCTACTTATTATTGTGAACAGATGGCATTTGGATCGAATTGCAACTTTTATGATTCTATATTTATTTTATAGGTTAAATTATGAGTCACAACTAGAGGTATCAAACGGGACGGGCTGGCTCAGAACGGCATGAGCCTAGCCCGTTTAAATGGGGCACGGCACGGCAAGAACATGAATATTAATGGGCCGTGTTTGACACGGCATGAAAGCTTGGACCAGACTGAAATCAAAAAATTAGGTTCAATGGACTGAACCGGCTCGTAGCCCGACATGAGCCGGGCTTGACCTGAGCCTGCTTCAAGCACAAGCCTAGCCCACTTTATAAGTAGATGATGAAACACGAAACTTTATAACGAACCTCCTATTCCGCATAGCTATGGCCAGTGGCGGAGGCATATGGGGACCAGTGCAGTCACTGGCCCCCACTGAAATTTTATTTAAAAAAAAAATAATACTAGTATATAGAGTCTAGCAGAAGCAGATTGTAGAAGGCATATGGGCCAAAGCAGATTTCAGCCTAAGAATTTAAGCCATAATGGCGTGATCCAGCAAGCAGCCAAAGTAGATTTCAGCAACGTGGGCCCTATTAACAGCCAATATCCTAAAATCATACATTACCCATTCCTAAAAGGATTAGAACTATTATTATTATTATATATTGTCTTCTTGTATAAATCAATAAACCTAAGCCTTTTTCTTTTTTCTTGGGTTAGAAACACGACCAAACCAGCCAATTGATTGTGAGGTTTTTTTCTTCTCAAATTCTAATTATATTATCAAGTTTTTTTTTTCTATTGATTTTAATGGGTCTTTCAATTTATGTGTAGATTACCAAATAGAAAAGGCTTTGGAGATATTTGGTAAATCGCTATTGAACTCCAAGTATGTATTTGTCTGTCCCTTGTAATTTTTCTTGCGTAGTATGTAATTATTTATGCAATTGTGAACTTGTGTTGGTGAAATTTTAATTTTAATTTATAAATTTCTATATATATGATTTTCTATTGGTTTGATTAATATATTGTTTTGAATTGAATGCTCAATTTGCTTCGGTTTATAAGTTTGAGAAGATGTTCATAATTGTTTCAATTTAAATTTAGTTCATATATGTATTTCAAGTTATGGAAAGATTTTTCAAAAGAAAATCAAAGTCTGAGTTAGTGGAGTCGTCACCTGCAAAGAGTCAAAAGAAAAATTATAGTAGTTCAAACCAAACTACGGAAGTTAACTTGGAAAATTTGCCAGCTGATCCCGGATTACGTAATCAAATATTGAGTTACCATCCAAATGTTCGAGACCAAGTTCAAAGAGCTTATCTCCAAAAAGGTCCTTGTCAACCTCGAGGGCATAATTTTCCTTACAAAAATTTTGGAGAAAAACAAAGACGATTTAATCCTAGTTGGTTTAGTGAGTTTCCTACTTGGTTAGAGTACAACATAGAAAAAGATGCTGCCTTTTGTCTATGTTGTTATCTCTTTAAACCTGATATTGGAGAGCAATCTGGTGGTGAATCTTTTGTTGATGTTGGATTTTCGAATTGGAAGAAAAAAGATAGACTACAAATTCATGTTGGAGGACCGAATAGTGCCCATAATAAAGCTTGGAGAAGTTGTGAGGTCTTATTAAACCAAAAACAGCATATTGAAACAATTCTCTCAAAACACTCAAACCAAGATCGAATTGATTATCGAACTCGTTCAGGTGCATCAGTTGGTGTTAGCAGGATACTTTTACAACAAGAGCTTCCATTTCGTGGGCATGATGAATCTAAAAATTCAACGAATCAAGGGAATTTTCTTGCATTTTTATGATGGCTATGTCGTTTCAATGATGATATAAAAGCTGTCACGCTAAAAAATGCTCCTGAAAATTCGTTTAGGTGCATCAGTTGGTGTTAGCAGGATACTTTTACAACAAGGGCTTCCATTTCGTGGGCATGATGAATATGAAAATTCAACAAATCAAGGGAATTTTCTTGCATTTTTATGATGGCTATGTCGTTTCAATGACAATATAAAAGTTGTCACGCTAAAAAATGCTCTTGAAAATATGAAGTTGACATCACCTGATATCCATAAGGACATTTCATGTGCTATTTCAACTGAAATTATCAATGCAATCATCAGAGATATTGGTGATTCATTATTTGCAATTCTTGTTGATGAATCATGTGACATGTCTTCAAAGGAGCAGATGGCAATTGTGCTACGTTATGTGGATAAAGGTCGGGTAATTGAACGTTTTGTAGGTATTGTGCATGTTACAGATACTAAATCTTCCTCACTCAAGTTAGCCGTTGATGATTTCTTTTCGAGACATGGATTAAGCATCTCTAGATTGCGAGGGCAAGGTTATGATGGCGCAAGTAATATGAGAGGTGAGTTTAGTGGTCTTAAAACACTCATTCTAAATGAGAATGACTTTGCTTTTTTATGTTCATTGTTTTGCTCATCAACTTCAACTAGCTCTAGTAGTTGTGGCAAAGAAACATTCAGAAATTGCAGGTTTATTTACTATGGTTTCTAATGTGGTGAATGTTGTGGGTGCATCCGCTAAGCGTCGTGATATGCTAAGAGAAAAGCATGCTGATGCAATTTTTGAAGCACTCAATAATAATGAGCTCTTAAGTGGGCAAGGCCTGAATCAAGAAATCATCTCGCATATAACATTTTTAAAGTCAAATAGCTATTATTCCACACTTCTCAATTTCAAGCACATAGAGTAAATAGCAACAAATGGGTTGGGTGTGTGTTGGGAAAACACCGGTTTCCCCCCTCGTCACAGCATAACCCGATGTAAGAACATATGGATCAGGTTACGAACAAAAATTTGAAGCAAAGGTTCTATTGACTTTTATGCAATCATTCAATTTCATTTTTGGTCTACACTTGATGAAAAGAATTTTGGGAATCACAAACGACTTGTCTCAGGCATTACAAAAGAAAGATCAAGATATTGTGAATGCCATGGACTTGGTCAAAATATGTAAAGGAAGATTGCAAAGCATGAGAGATAATGGTTGGGATTCTTTACTTGATCAAGTTTCTTTCTTTTGTGGCAAGTATCATATTGAAATTCCTAAAATGGATGATATTTTTTCCAGTGGAGGGAGACCAAAGCGTAAAGCTCAGCCTATCACAAACTTACATCATTATCGTGTTGATTTATTCGTTGATGTCATTGATATTCAGCTCCGAGAGTTAAATGATCGGTTCAATGAGAAGAATACTGAATTACTTCTTTGTATGGCATGCTTGAGTCCAAGTAATTCATTCTCTGCTTTTGATAAAGCAAAGTTGATGCGACTTGCCCAATTTTATCCAAGAGATTTTTCTAAGCATGACCTCAAATTACTTGAAGATCAACTTGAGAATTACATTTGGGACGTGAGCTCTAACAATGAATTTACAGAATTGAAAGGGATTAGTGATCTTGCGCAAAAGATGGTTGAGACAAATAAAGATAAGATCTATCCTTTAGTGTACTTGCTTCTGACACTAGCACTAATCCTATCTGTTGCGACTGCAAGTGTAGAGCGAGTATTTTCTGCTATGAATATTGTGAAGAATCGGTTACGCAATCGAATGGGGGATTTGTGGATGAATGATAGCTTGGTTGCATATATTGAGAAAGACATTTTTAATAGTATAGATGACGAGGTTGTTATGCAACGATTTCAAAATATGAAAACTCGTCGAGGACAATTATGATTGTAATGAATAGACAATATAGACAATATGATTTTTGATGTTTTGATGTCTTATGAGTTCGAAGTTTTATTATTTATATTTTGTGAAAGGCCACCAGACACATGAAATTCTGGCTTCGCCACTGGCTATGGCATGACACTAAAATTAATCAATCCGGAAAAACAAAGTCAGTTGCCATTTCTATTGCATATGTATGAGATTTGACCTGTTCCACATTTTAAAATCATTTTTATACTTTCTTATTCAACATCTGCCGTGGACTAAAGGCAGTCTGGTATTGTTCATGTTATGAAATAAAAAATATATACTTTGCATGGAATGAACAATAAAATAAATAGAAGAGGGTTGTGAAATTATGAGGCATGCACTATGTGTAGTTTGGAATCTTGACCAAGCATGAGGAAGAAAATTGATCAAGTTAAGTTGATTAGTGGTACAAGTACAAGTATGTCTGTCAATAATATAGTCTTGAAAGGTTTGGTTTTAACAACTAAGCAGTTTAGATGACATGACAGACATTGTTAGTAGCCCCATTTTCATCCCAGACAAGTCTCTTCCTACAATCCAATAGGGTAATTTTCTTTGATTTTCTATAGCAATGACCTTTTCAATCGAAAACTGTTGTGTAAATAACATCCAATTGATATAAGTTGGATTGGATGATGGCTAGCTACAGGGAGACAGAGCACTTGGAAATCTGGGAGCTTCCATTTTTTATATTCATTTTTTTTCCCAGTCTCTTCCATTTAGCACATAATCAAATGCTCATCCAAATATTGAGCATTACAGTGATTCAGCAGAGTGGCTCTACTTTTAGCAGCTATGAAGATCATGTTGTGTACATATTTTGTTATAAAAATTATAGGTTTTCTCTTTCTGTAAAGCCAAATACAAAAATCTTTATATTATAAATAACATATAAACAAATTGGAAAGCTATTAAGGTAAGCAAAACAAATTGATAGGTAAGTAAAAGAAAAATAAATTATAAGTAAGAAAGTGAGCTTGGTACGGTGAAACACATCAAAGACGTTGTCCTAAAGCCTTTGTAGCCTCCCTACGTACAGGTACTGGCGGTCTACAAGACTCCAAGATACGACCCTAATACACAAGCTCAAGATCCCCTATGAGCACGTTCATAGACGGATATAGGTATCCAAGTCACAAAACCATTGCCCAAAATAATAATATAAGTAGAGAAAGTATAAAAAGTAGAAGAGGGGAGAATCAAATTGTGGTATGTGATATTCTGATGGTGGTATGGTTGTTCAAATGTGAAGGAGGAGTGGCCTTTTATAGGCATCCAATAACATGTAACCTTCACCACATTAAACTAGAAAATTAAGGCATTCAATATAGAAATAAAACCTGAAAATTAAATATTTATAACCCCCACAATAAATAAAATAAAACAACCAAAATAATTAAATAAATCAAAACAGTTAAATTTTTAAAACCTATTTAAATTCCAACAATCCCCCACAAGGTTTTCAAAATTTTACATTAAAAAAAACAGTGAAAATTTATATTTATATATGGGCAACATAATACTATGCAATAGGTATAGGTGCCTTCCGAGCTTGAACCTTCACCTAGTGATAATAGTCTCCATTTGAGGAACCTGAGTGTTGAACTCGGCTCAACATATCCCCCACATAGTATTGGTAGAGACTTGGATGCGGGGTAGCGCTATTTATGGCCATGTGCTAATCTTGATTCTCATGAGAGTTACTAGAGAATAGCCCAATTCTCACAGTCGCGGCCTCACGACGTCTCTCATTTAGGTGAGTTCTCCAATAGTACATGTGACTTGCACCCTACGGGAGTTTGCCCACCTCAAAACTCATTCAGGGATAAATCCCTTCCTAATACCACATAAAATAGCACTTTTGCCTTAGGGATGAGCAGAAGAATATCTCAAGGATATCTCCATAGTTTTATGAATGCTATATGAGTCACGCAGTATGGATTGTTTCTACCTAATTGAACTTCCTTCATGGGATCGCCAGTCACATAAGTTGGGTTACCTCCCTAGGTGACTTTCTTATGGGCTTAAGCACAACCCCCTCGACATTTTGCATTAATAGCCTCCTCCACGAGGCATGCATATATATATAATGTGGTTCACGTCTTTGTTCTCCACTTTAGCGTGCTCTAAACCTGCATGTTATTAGAAATATTTCCTACACAATCTTGCACGCAAATAATTAGTGGATTTCACCTCAGTATAATTGGAAATTATATACACATTGGTATACATTAAAATATAACGGAAATCCCACTATATATAAATTCATATAATCTGAATACCTCTCAAATATTGGTACTCAAATATGGGTCTGCAATAGTCTTTGAAACTTTGAGTGCACTTGAGAAGCTATGAACAAACTATGCAACGCTTAATTCATTAAATAAATTTAATTATAAATACTAAGTATTTTAGGATACTCTTACTCCATTTTTGTACACTTTAAGTGGCTAAAATCATGATCACATATCCAAGTTGAAATTGTATCTTGTCGATTCTCAATATGAACCTATAAGACAATAAGAAGTCTTTACCAAAATTTTATACTAAGGCCATCATTAGTTGCACACCCACTTTCATATCAAAATTGAAGACAAGTTAGTCTCATGATAAAATTTTATAATAAAAACAAATTTCACACAGACACGACATGTTTGCCGAGGGTAATTATTACTGAAATTAACATTACAGCCATTAAATGAGTATAATGAGCATTTCCCATGAGAAAACAAGGAAATTGAAAACACACTCAAAATTTGTGGGAAAGAGAAGTGAGAAGGAAATTGCGCGATTTCTCCATGTCAACAATTAACAAGAAGAGTTTATATAATTTAATTAATTTTATTGTTATTATTATTATTAATATTTTGAAAGAAAGGAGTTTAATTAAATGATTGTTGGTTACCTCCAAAAAGACTATGACACTAAAGCAATGCAATTAGACTACATTAAATGAGTCTAACGTTTTTCAACATAAAACAAAAACTGCTCAACATTAGCCACACATAAAATTATAGCATTAAAGTTTACTTTGAAAATAAAAATCAACTCCCACCAGAGAGGTCCACATGGTTTTAAAATAAATAATAATCATTATTATTATCAAAAGCAAATAACGTAAACATTTGAGGGCTAATTAAAACAAAATAAGATATATCCCAATAAAAGAGATATCAAAACTTATATAATAAATGTACAACATAACTTCAGTTTTAACAAAGAGGTAATCAAAACCACTCAAAATCTGGAAAATTAAATTCAACATAAAATAAGTATTGAGATTAATTTTGTATTTAAAATACCCACAAAGATTCCAACAATTACCCACATAGTTAAGGAAAAACTCAACCCCCGCAAATTAGGGAATTCTCAAAATATATGAAGATTGTACCAAAATTTATTTATTTTTAAATTCATAAGATATGCACTCAAAATTTATTGTTTGTTATGTTCAGTTATGTTAAGATGTTTTTGCTGACTTCCTTATGTTGGTAAAGGGGGGCCTGAAGCCCAGTGAAACTTTTGCTAATTGGTGTGTGGTTTATACTTTGTGTTTGATGTGTAGGTAGATTTTTGGGTTTTGAGCCAGTTTCAAGGAAAGCTTTGTCGATTTTCTGGTAGAAGTCAAGCCCTAAAGTAGTTTGGAATTAGGGCAAGAAGGGTATTCTAGTAATTTGAGCTGACACATGCCTAGTGTCAAATAGGAAGAGGGTTCGTCATGGATTCCAATAGGGAATTCGGGGTGGGTTCATTCAATTGGTGTCAGAGCATTAGGTTAAATTCATGTAGACTCTGCACCTTGTGTGCCTCCTTATTACAATTAAGTGTTCGACATTCCATTATGTTATCACGCCTTCTCGACGTGGCTGACCTCATAGGCTAGTTGAGATTAACGTCTGTTTCTTCTCTTATTCATAATGATCCATATGGTCAATTGTTTATGCTTATGTTAGTATACATAGATATATGAACATGCATTCAGATCCACTAGATACATCTTTTGTCCTAAAATTGTGTTTGACTAAGAATTGAATTGTTTTTCTAGTATGAACCTCAAACACTAAATTCTAAATGATGAGAGATTGAGCTTGACCCTAAATCAATATTTTTTTTGTTATAAGTGTAGCATTAACACATACAATATTAACGTAAAGAATTACTTTATATATGTTTATAAAATTTATATGTATAAACGTAAAATAGAGCATCAATACATAATTACATAAAATATTTTATAATAGTTACTTTATATAGGCTTATGAGATTCGTATTAATTTCTTCTTCTTTTTCACAGATTCAAAATTTTTTTAACGTTATGTCAAAACTTGCTACTACCTTTGCCTCAAGAATTAGCAGATGTGTCTTAGTAATTAGGGATTGCTCTAAATTTCAATTTCTTTTTTTTGGGTATACTAGGCTTCAACAAGAAGAAGTTACTACATGCTACAATTACACGAAGAATTATTAATATTTCTTATTGCAATAAGAAGTAAAAAAAAATGTAATATGTGGAACAAATAATGTATAAGACCATTGATTCTTTATATACTTAATATGAGTGCTAAAACAAAGAAAGGCTCAAAGGTCTTTCAAATCAAGTTGCGAAACATAGTAACCAAGGAGCTCGTTTACCTCGCCATACAATCGAGAAAAATCTCATGACCAAGCAATCTTATATTCAATTCACTCGGTAGAATAAAATACCTATTTTATCATCATGGAATATCATACTATTCACCAATAGGATCTCGGGCCCTTTAAATGTGTCACTACACCATATACATGAGAATATCATAGCAATAATTGTCATGCCCCAATCCACAGATTTAAGTAACCTTGGGTTAAGACGTGATTCACACCTTAATTATAGAATTTAATAAAAACTATAACTAAAATGTGAAGAAACATTTAAATAAATAAAATAAATATTTAACATAGAATATTCAGAGGAAACGACAACATCTGAAATCTTA